GGGAGAAATTCTGTTCAATTAACTAACTTGCCTGTCAGCATGCAGTGGATGAGAAAAGAAGAACAATTATTGGCCAGCTGGCTTAGCAGCTCTAAAAGAAATTGTAATGTCCCCTAATGAAATGTAGGGGTCGAGGCGCTTCTATAGACTAGATGCCAAATGTCTCACCATGTGTTCTCTTGATTACCATAGTGCTGTATAGACTTCCTGAGCATTGCACTTCAGCCTATTGGTGCAAAAATCCCACACAGACACCCCAGTTTGCAAGACTAAAGGATTTGTACTCATTTATATGAAAAGCTGTATGGGTGGCCTGCACCTAACTGTTCTTTTGTTGGCTGAATCATGGTCAGTGCTTGCATCCAAACGTCTGACCCAAACCCTGAGCACGCTTTTAAAGCTGATTTTTGATCAAAGGGACTGACGATCCCTGTGGGCTACAAACGCTCTAGCAAAACAAACACAGGAACTACCAGAATGTTGATAACAAAAGCAAAGTTAAACCTTTGAGGCTAACTCACTCCCACCCACCTTTTTTTCTTTTTTTTTCCTCCCCCTTAATATTCTGAGTGCTAGTCCTTGTATTAAATGGACACTCAGCAGCAAGCTGCCTGACCTCCTCAGTTTACGGTGTCAGGCTTTGAATGGAGTATCCCTTTGTGGGCTCTGTGCTTGGCCTTCTGTTTTGATTTGGCTGTTCAAACTATGAAACTTTTCTGTCTCTCTGACTGTTTCCTATAATTTCAATACACAGCCTTTTTTTGCTAGATTGCATATAAATACTCTTATTAGTTTATTAGCTAATGTACAGCTTGCGCTTCATGACATTCTACTTATGGCAATCACACTTGACTCTCTCATGTCCCAAGTTTCTTTCTTGAACACATTTTTTTTAAGGCTTCCAACTACAGCCCGTAGGAAGATATTCTTGTCTCGCCTCACAAAACTGGCTAGTCCTTTGCAAAAACATCTCTTCTTTAAAAAAGGAGAGGTTATGTACATTAACTTCCAAGTGTCTGCGTTGGAAGAAAGATTTTTAGAAAAAAGAAAAGTTGTATTTTTTATGTTGTTTTTAATAATTTCCAAACTACCCTCCTTTTCCAGTAGAGTGTTTTTCCTCTGACAGAAAAAGAAAGACAGTGTCCTTGCCAGATGATATGCCTGGCTGAAAGAACATAGAATTTAAAGATGGATATATTAAAGTTAAACATGAAGAGTTACATTACCACAGCATCATTTAATTTCTGCTTATTTTTATGTAAGAGTGTTTTCAGAATAGCAAAACCAGTATTGCAGCTCCACAAGCTAGTTTAGTGCCATTGCCTTCTGTGATCCACTCATCCTTACGCTATTTTCTCCTGATTGGTCTCTCTATGATTACCTCCTCCTTCACCTGATTTTTTTTTCTTTTTTTTTTTAAAATCTTCTTTGCTGTAGCAGCTTAGAGCTGGTTGCTAAGTGCTGCGGATTTTCCTCCATACTATGTAAGGAGTGTAATTCCCCTCCCTGTCTTCCTGACTAGGATTCCTGGCGCTCTGATGGAAGGTCATATCATCCATACAGGTCTGGGTGTTGCTGGAACACAGAGGGATCGCGTGGACTATCCCTCAGGTGCTCCAACCACCCTTCCCAAGGGCTGCTTGCTCATCCTGGTGCACTGGGCTCCAGCTGTGCACCACCCTCTCCCCAGCTGGTAACTAACTGACACAAGCTAGGCTTTGTGCATAGTGGGAAACAGCCTATTCCTAAGCACAGGCTTTTTATTCCTAACAGGACTTACTCTTTGCTATAAAAGCAAATATGGACTTTATTTTAATCCATGTAGGCTTCTTGTACCTGCTTCAAATGCTGGACAGTCTCTCTCAAACCATGTGCTTTATTTAGGCTTCTGTGAGTGTAATCTGATGCAGTGTGTTAGTTCTCAGGTTCAACTCACGCTTCTGAGTATATTTAGTCTTTCAGATGTTGTCTGGCACAGCTATTTGATTACTGGGACATTTTCTGCTAAATATATCTACTCAGTTGTTAGGCAAGCAAAGCACCTGAGGGCTCTATGACATCTCTGTGGAGTGGACACCTCCAAGCTGGTGTCCAATGAGCTCCATTTTGGGATTGTTTGATTCTCTCCCCCCCCGACCCCCCAGTAGTAATCAGCTTGTGATTTGTATCTTAAAGGTTTTTGAAGCGCAAAGGTTGCACATAATGGTTTAAAAAAAAAAAAAAAAAAAAAGGTGTGATCTCAAATACAGGCTTGTAAGACCATATGAGTTTGAGTAATGCATGCTTTAGCTGTGTACATTTCCAACCTTGTAGTTTGCCTGTAAGGTAAATGCTCTGGGGCTTATTTATGTAGTAGTAGATGAGGGTGCGACAGCTTTCATTTTCTTGTCCGTGTTTTGGGGAATCTAGGCATGTAAAAATTGCCTCACCTTGGACCTCAAAGGCACCCAAACTTCCTGTGTAGGCAGACATTCCTCACTTTTTTTTTTTTTTTAAAGCCTAGCTGGCTGAGCACCTGAACAGCCACTGTGTTCTTGTCCTAGTCTATCCCAGCCGTCAGTGTTGGACCAGCCCTGTGACACGGTTCGGATGCCTTCCTGGGCAGGAGGAAGAGCATTGCCACTGGCTTCATGCCATGTCCTGATGACCAGCACAGCTTCAAGTGGAGCAAGAATGTTAACCCCTAGCACAACAGAAAGCATGAGCAGTTTGAAAAACTACAAGGCACAGATTTCAAGTAAGACAACCTAATTGCTAGAAATAGCACAAGTTAGGCCCAGATCATTTTACTTGGTGTGTGTCAAAGAGTTACAGTATGCAAACATTATAATAATCAATTACTAGGTTGATAAACTAAATTCTTAGGGTGCATTCCAAAGACACAAACCATGGAGGACAACGTGGAGTTCTTGGGAGGTCTCCCTTTCAAGTCCAAACTGCAGGATTAAGGAATTAGGTTTGTCACTGGTAAACATTGGCCCTGGGTGTCACTATGTATCACCTACCTGTTCACAGACTGAGCTTGCCACAGTGCTGTCAGAGACACTGACACTTCAGTCATATGCCTGGCCTTACATTGGAGAACGTAGGCTGCAGCAGTTCTAACCTAAGAAACACAAGTCCAAGTTCTGAAAGAGCAATTTTTTACCTTTCCAGTTTAACTGCTAGAAATTTGAAGAAGTTTCATGTTATTTGGACTTTCTAACCTTTATCAGACAGCGTCTTGCATTAACATGAAACTTGTAGTTACATGGAGCAATGTAAAGTGGTTTAATTGGTATTTTGTTCTTTATTGGGGGAGATGAGTTCTGGCCTTTATTTTGCTGTCATACTATCACATAGTCTGAGATACTGCTTTGCTTCATTTGATTATTCAGTTCTTGCAGAAATGTAATCTTTCAGAATTCCACACTAGATATAAATCATGCAACAGGGTCAGACTAGGTTAGCCTTTTGAGCATCAACTTGTGAAAAGATTAGGTCCCGTGTTGAACCTGGTATTTTACTAGGTTAAACATTAGACTTGTCATTTCATAGCTGGCCTCATATCTTCCAAAGACAAGGTAGTGCTGCAGCTAAGAAAACAGGGTGTTAGCTAACAAAATTACCATGTCAGCTGATTCAGAACTACTAAGCTATTAGCAAATTTTGCCAGAGCCCACACCAATCTTTAAATGGTTCAGCACCTGATGAGCACGATTCCTTGTTCAAATTGCACTTCTCCTAAGAGTTGTTGAGCAACAAGTAACACAGTCATAGTAATTGATGAAAGTGGCGAGCTTATCGGCTATTACAGTAAATTATTTTTACACATTCAGTGGTCTTCAGTAAACATCTTTGTTTAATTGAAAAATTGCAACACTTACTTATTTATTAGGGATTTGTAGCTAAAGAGATACACCTAGCTCTGGAAGTCCTTTACTCATTCCAGGTTCCTTTGCTGTAAACATTAATTTGTTCACAAGAGAGAACACTCTGCCAGAGCAGGACGCACCACCATCCTCACACAACAGGAAGACCCTCTCCAGAATGATCGCTAGAGCGAAGTTACTCTGGGTACAGCTAACCTGGTAAACAGAAAGCCCTCAATGAACAACAGATAATTGGTAATGTACACCTGTGACCTAAAATAATTGCCTTCCTAATGAAATCTGGCCAGCAAATAATTCCCAAAGGCAAGTATGGGGACACTGTAGGAATGTGTCACTGGATAAAACTGACCTTGCAGGGATAGTTAGGAGGTAGCTAAATTACATTTGGGGGTTAGCAAGAGAGTAGTGGGGAAAAAAAAAGAAATGTGTAAACTGTCATCAAGTCCGAGTAACACTCATGAAAAATCTACTATCTCCTGAGTTTTTTAACAGAGATGACAGCTTCTATTTAAATAAAAAACCCTATTTATTGTTTTTAAAAAACAAAGCAAAGGGGCCAATGTAAGGCTTAAGACCAAGGTCAAAGAAGAGCATGGAGAAGTTGTGATCAAATATAAGGAAAAACTTTTAAATGGGAGCTCAGAGCGACAGTGAAACCCCCATCCTTAGAGATACTCCAAACTCGCCTGGACAAGGCAACTATGACTGTAGTTGGCGCTGCTGTCTGCAGTGCGTTGGACAAGATGACCTCGAGAGGTCCCTTCCAAACTACACTGTTCTGATTCTGCAAGTCTTTCAGTGCTTCTCTAAAGGTAAGTAGCTGATTTAAGCTTGAAGATAGTTACCAAAACACCCAATCCCTTCTCTGGGAAAACACATCTCACTGTCTGAACCTCAACTGTCTTTATTTCGCTCCAAGGGAAACAGACATATATATGCCGAATAAGGTAACTTGAGATTCAAATACATTTTATTTATCCTTTTTATATGAAGTTGTGTTTAGAAGTTTTATTTTACACAGTTACAGCTAGTTACATTTGGTAAACTCATGAAATAGTTATTTTTAAGGTGTCAAATACTTTAACTGCAGAAAATTACATTCATCAGTATTTGCTGTCAGGGAAGTAATTAGAATGTCCTGTCCAGTGGATGAGAACAGGTATAGGCTCTCTTTTCCAGGACCTGCTTTGCAGCTTTTTTAATACAGTCATCTAGATTTTCATCTGCATCTGCAGAGAAACAGAAGGAAAGTTAACTGAAGTACCGTAAATAGCTTTTCTAAATTTCATCCAAAAAGGATTTTAGAATACAAATGCAAGTGTCTCAACTTCAGTGCCAAGAAATAATTTAACATTATATTCTAAAAAAGACTGATTATTGCAGACTGAGTTTCACAGACCAAACGCCTAATTGGTCAGTATTTAACAATCAGGTATTTGACCTGTTTGGTTATCTAATACTTCTTTACAGGAGTATTTGCTACTGACAGTTATGTTCCTCCCCAGAGTCTGGAAAGAAAAGAATCACTGCAGTTTGTTTTATCTAGTAAATGAAGAGATTCTTTATGTTCAACTGGCACCAGTTCTGTTCTTCATCCTAATTAAAGGCAGAGCAAAATAATTCGGCTGGTCACATCAAAACCACCTACTTTTGTTTGGAGTCTGTGAAAGCCACAAGAATATAAAAATTATTTTATTTTATAGAACTTACATTTTTGTAATTGAGCCATGGCATAATTATTCTTGAAATATGCTTCTGTGCAGAAGATATTTGTAAGAAGCACCTGAGAAAATAGTAAAACTCAGTTAAAAACTGGTAAATAAATTTCATAAACAAAACAACATAGTAAAAATACAGTAATTTAAATTTCTGAAAGTCTAGTTTTGTCTCTTGATAATGGAGCCTGGCAAGCTCGTCATGTATGTTGCAAACTTAGTTGTTAGTTTTTCCCCACAGCTACTGAGTGTCAGAGTTGGGATGACCCCTTCACTCAAAACTGACTAGAAGACATTTTTGGTAATAAATCCAGAAAGTGCTTACACACACAAAATCTGAAGTCTCAAGGACAGTGAAGACAAAGCTTAATCAATTTGGATTTGTCTAACTTAACTGTAGCAAATTTACTTGTCCTGTAGCGTAACTGTTACCGTGAAACTTTAAATGAGCTATTATACAACCACCTGTGTGTCAAACTCTCACTTTACTGTCAATAAATTTATTGACAAAATATTGTTGTTATTATATGTCGCTATTTACTAATGATTCTATGGAAAGAGTTTGGGAAGAACTGCATGGTATCAGCAGGTGTAAAAACACGCAAATTTGTAATTCATTCATAAATGTGTATGTATGTGTAAATATTTTAAATACTTTGATACCATGCAAATTGTATGTTCAGAGCACCTGAGAGGCAGTTGGTGCAGTTACTGCACTGTTGCACCAATCAGTTTAGAAACATTCTGGTGCATGGTCAGTTTTATTGAAGAGTTTGCTGTGATAGATATAAATTCTAATGTAGAGTGTACTTTTAAGTGCAATGAAAGCTATTTGTCATTGAGGTTTTGCAAAGTCTGAGACATTAGCATGCAATGCCTGCTGGTTTAGAGCACTCTTTTATGACAGCATCATGTTCATGCACATTTCAGAGTTGAGGGGAAAAGTTGGCTCATCAAGACAAAAGCATCTGGTTAGAGCCTTGTAAAACACAGACAGGCTGGAACATTTGAAGAAGTCTGAGGCTGGATAGTGCCTCTTTATTACAAAACACTTAAGTGATGCAGAATGGTAATAAATACTGATTGTTAAACTATGTGATCCAAGGAGTGCAGGCATTAAGTGGGTATGACTGATACTAAAGTACACTTACTTCATGATCGTGGTTTCTTAGCCCAATGCTGATAGACCGGCTAGCTCTGGAAATCACTGCTGTCATTGCATATAAATTAATAACTATATCTGCCACTCTCTTCAGAACCAACTGCTCATCCACTATTGTCTAGAAGAGTAAAAATGATTATTAGCTTGTAGTTCATCAATTTAAAACTTTAACCAAACATTTTTTTCATACTTTGTATTTAGGTTCACACTTATTTAGTATAGACAGATAAATTGTTACACAGAATTTCTACCCTAAGTCAGAAAGTTTTGGATTAACTATGCTCTGCCTTTTCTATGTTTAAACTACTAAGTTTTGGATTAACTATGTTCCACCTTTTAGCAGTCTTTCTGGCTGCAGCCAACAGTAAAATTGCTGTGTCTTGAAATCATGTCAGCAAATGCCAAAATCGCTGAAATTCAAGTCCCAAATACATTAAGTCTGTTCAAAAGATGTATTAGTTATGGTGGACTGTGGCAGGGCCTAGTCTGATAAGCATTCTCAGAAGATATCAGATTATCTGTCACAAAATCGAAAATCCAGGATATTCTAAGTTCACTCTCTCCTATTTTAACTACAGCACTTTGCATGGTATAATTATATATTTGTTTGCTCTACAATATGGATGAATAGCATAAACTAAAAAACTGCTGGTACAGCTCTTCATTTGGGAAGAGGGAAATGTGTTCCAGTGACTGCTCACAGCAAAGTACTTAAGATAGTCACTGGAGCAGGCAGGATTTGTGCTTACAGAGGCAGAAGGAAACAACTAATTCACCAAGATAGCTGTTTTTTTGTTTTTGTTTTTGGTTTTTTTTAAACAAAAGTTGTCCATTACATCTAGTATAGAATTTCAGTGTATTTTCTCATATTCAATGGAAACATGTGTAAAGGAAGTCCTGGCTCTTGCCATACACAGAGGCTACTCTATATTCCAGTGAGGCCAATTTGGTTGAGGATAAACTATTCAATAACAAAGATAACAGAAAAAATAATAGTTACCTTGCCAAACCTACTTAGGAGGCCTGTCACTGTAGTTCCAAAATAATAAATGTTTTCTTCAAGCTTCTGGCCACTTCCCTACAAAACAAAACAGAAAATACAACAATTTAAGTAGTTGTCTAAGGGATAAAACAAGCACACCCCTGCCCGCTTGAAACAGGACACTTGGCTAAACAATCAGCATATTATAGGGAAGCACCTGTGGGGAAGTATGAGCTACTCCGGTGCTGCCCAGCCAAGACACCAAAATCTTGGGCGACAGCACCTTCTGCATGAGGAAGTAGTTGCTCTGCCCACGCAGTCTTGGGCCTCTGTGGTCTGGCTGCAGGAGGCCAGGACTTCTGATGGGTTTAGTAGCCAAGACACAAATTGGAATTCTCAACTACAGCACAAAACTAGTTTTCCTTTTTTAATTAGCCAAGACTGAAGTTTAGCAGAACACTGTTAAGAGGTCTGGAATCAATTCTGAGTGATCAAAATGAAGGAACAACGTACATTAAGTTGAACAACCAACAGGCAATTCTGCTGAAGAAGATAACGATGTAAGCCTCCAGATCTGTGTCCCACCACAAGAACAAAGTTTCCCTCTCTAAGAAAATGACATTTCAATTTTCTGCTAAATGTAGTGTTTATTATCAACTTCTAGTCACTGACCAGAATTCCCTTTTAAGATGATCTTTCACCATTTTACATCTTTTTCTTCGCAGCTAAAAAGGAGACGTTTCCCTATTTACCTGAAAGGAATGGGATTATAAAATGTTGATTCTTTTCCAAGGGGAAAAATCGCTGTTTAGATGCAGCCCTGGTATCCTGAAGCCCCATTAATACTAGATTTTTCTCTTGGCAAGCACTATTTTTTTTAACATTCAATGAATTTGCTGCTGAAAGCCAGACAGGCACTATTCTTTCTCTACAAAATATGCATTGCAGTTTTGTAAATTTTACTTTGGTAACTTTTCAGTATAGTCTTCATGCTTATGCAAATAATAGTTCGAAAAATTCTTATGCAACATTTAGTTCTGCACAGCAAACCTAATTCTTACCTAAGTGCTGCAGGTTATGAAAACCCTGAAAATCAAGATTATCTGCAACTACTGTGTGAATTCACCAAGTCTCAAATTCTGGTATTAAGTAGGAAGAAAATTTCCAGTGTCATATTTGGCTTTTATTAATTCATAAACGCAACTAGTTCACGCTGCTGATTCTTGTAATATGAATGCAAGTAAGTGGGTTTGCAACTATTTAAAGGAAATTCAAATCTAGCGTGTCAGCTAGGTCAGAATTGCTGTAGTTAAAACAATCCACCCACGTACTCTGGTGGCACTGCAGAACACAGCTCATTTACCCGAAGGAGGTGCCACGTTGTTAAGCTTCCCTACGTGAATGGAACAGTATTAGCAAATCCTCTTACCTGTGTGCGTGAAATACCTGACCTGGAGGACAGGTATACTGACAGAACATTAAAAATAATTTTGTTACAGTTTTGCAAATCACTAACAAAACATCATAGGAAAAACATACCTTATCTTTTTTCTATTAACAGAACATCCATCTTTGGTCATAAAAATTTACTAAGTCATTAAGCAAGTATGTATATATAGTTCACAGAAATTCTTACCCAAAACTGTGTTACTATTAAACAGGAAAAAATACTGTGTTTTGTAACTGAGCTTATTATGAAGGGCAGCAACAGACCATTACAAAGACTTTAATACTGTGAAGGCTCAATTTATATAAATTACTAAAATGGATATAAACCTGGATTTGGTATAAATACAGACTTAAAGCAGTCTTCATTTTACCTTGACGTGTACTCATATAATATCTGTAACTAAGTCCTTACCCCTGAAATGGTATAAACATGTGCTTAAATTTGTAAATCTCACTGTTCCTAAGCACACACTTTGTTTTGCGTGAACAGGATATCAAGTTGTGACAAGCAGTGAAGGGAATCAAATACAAAAGACCAGCATCTGGATCTGATCAAACAGCACTGTGTCCCCCTTCCCCTTACCTGGAGGCTGGGATGCACCACTCCACGATCACCAACTAGCCCATAATCCACTTTTCTGCCCATCATGTCCCGTAATTTCCTTAGAAACTCCCCCAGTGCCACTCCCACATTTCCTTTCTTGATTTCTCTAAAATGTTGGGTAAACAGCTGTTAATGGCCATTTCCTGGTTTGCAAGGGAAGGTTCAGGAGGTTCAGATAACCATTTGAAATTGTAAGTGCTTTACCAAAACACGTGCAGTTTGTCTATGAATCATCAAGTCTTTTGATCCATTTTACTATGAAGTCTGGAGAACAATTATACGGCCTTAAAAGTATACAACATGGTTCATATTCAGTTCCTCTCAAAAATAGTCACAATAAATTCCAGAGACCAGTATATGTACTCAGTATGTATGATACAGCTGTCTTACCAATAAAACTTTGTTATAAAATCTTAAGTTATAAAATTTTAATTACTAGTCTTTTAAGAAAGAATTTTACACAAGCTGGAATTATAAGGTAAGAGAAAATAAGTCCAAGATTCCTAAATACATAAAATATCCAATTAAAAATAAAAACTAATAAAAAAAAAGACGACCCCTATAACATTGAACTGCCTTTTACACAAGGTAATACATTTAGAAATACTGCATTTTTTTCCCTATGGTTTCCCCTCTTATCTATAGTTAAACAGTTACTAGATTCTGTTTAGTTTATTAAAAACTATTAGCAATAAATAAGAACATACTTAATTTTGTCAGTCAAGATTTTGCCTGCATACTGCATACCCGTCAAAGCAATATACATTCGCAGAATTTCATTTGTTCCCTGTAAAAAACATAATATAAAGTGAAGTCACTATCAAGTACAAAGTATTTTTAGTATTTAAAAAATCTAGATATGCTGTGCTACCATTTTCTATACCTTTTTTTTTCTAAAACTGCTTTTAATGTCCAAGTAACTTATGTGCTGTGCTCTTCTTTGAAATGTTCTAAAGTGCATTTGGACTCATAAGATAAAATTCTTTTGAGAGCTCTACATAAGACAAAAGATGATCATCACTTGTAAGGAAAACACACTTATGCCAGAAACTGCACTCCCAGCTGAGTTTGCCGGAAGTGGTAACAGAAGCTGGGGAGGTAGAGGACATCTGGCTGCAGAGGGTCAGAGATACTGGAAGCAAGCAACAAAGACTAAACACTCTATTAATTAACTTTTTTTTTTAAGTATATGTATAATTTTGAAGACAGGTTCTTTAGTTAACTATAAAGTTTACAATATTAATGGATGTTTTCCAAGCAGGTCTGTTTTGCCAGTCTTCCCTTTCTATTATTCTAATATTAAGAGATTACTCTTCATCCACCCATAAATGTTTGCTATCTTTTGCTTTATCTCAATTATAAATTCTGATTTCATTTAGCTGTGGAGAAGTTGAGCCTCTCTTTATTAAACATACATATGTATCACAATGAAAAAAGAAACCAGACTAAATGCATTCTGAGTAAAAAAGAAGTTCTGCATTTCTTCCAGTAAAGGAGCATTTAAACAGTGGTAAAACTGCTCAATATGCCTGTTTGGAAAGCAAATGCAGGCCAAGAAATTAAGATGACACTGTACAATTTGATGTCTGGGAATCCATTAACATGACTGATTGTTTCAATATAGGTGGCTGAAGAATAAAGATTAAAACACAGAAGGCTGGTCACAGATGAAAAGCACGCTGAGTATTAGACCAGTGTCAAAACTGTAATGACCCAGTGACAGGCCAAGTGACAAAGAGGCTACAGTTCCAAGAAAAAGTATTAATCTGTTATTAAGACTAAGCAGGAAGTTTTGGTGGGGCACATACACAGCACAGCCTACCTACTGTTGTTGGACAACAGAAACAGACCCTGGACAGCAAGAATTCTGTCCTTGGCTGCAGCAAACTGCATTCATCCGATCTGCCTGCCAGGCCTCTTATAAGAGGCTAAGATAAGCAACAAGGTAAGCACAACTTCCTTGTTTTAGCAGAAGAGTAACTTTCTATAACTGTTGGGATCAGCGAGAAAAATTAACTGAATTACAGGAATTCCAGTGGTGTGGTGTTTGGCTTTTTAAACAAGACTTCCTATAACCTGTCCAATGTGAAAGGTCTTCTCTGCTTCAACCAGTCTAGAAAGTGCTCCCTTACATCTGGTTTTGATTTTACTATTCAGAAGGTCTGTCAGATTCATCAACATCAAACCCCACAGGATGTAGGAGGATGACCTTACAGGTTGGCTGTTTTTTCTCTTTCATCGATACTGGAATTGACTCTTCCTGCTTACATGACATGAACACACACATATTTGCAAGAGCAGCTAGGTGACTGCTATGCAATGAACTGCAGTTTGAAAATTCTTGCTTGCATTAATTTGCAGTTGAGGTCTTTGCTGTCCTGACACCAGGAAGTAAATGATCATTTTCTAAATGGTCCATCAAGAAAAATCAAGTCTGGAAGTCTGACTCAGATGTACAGATGAATGGTCACTGATAATCCAGCTTGGAAACAGAATACGTTTCACAGCCAACATTTCTTACACTTTTTTTTTTTTTTTTAAAAAGAAATGCACATCAACAAGTTAAATTAATTTCTAAATTAATCTTTTGTGAGTTTCCCTACTTCACTTATGAGAAGCACAGAAGAGGAAAGGTTACTCAAGCCTAGGCACCAACAGAGCAACTTAGCCACAAAACCCCCAGAAAATCCTATTAGAGAAATCTGTTTAAAATTTTGCCCATACCTCTTACCAAACCCTATCACTTATATCAGTACAGATACATGAGAATAAAAGCAGCAAAAAGGTTTCAAAATATGCTCGATACAAAGCAAGATGGCCAACTTCATTCTCATAAGGCTCTTGCTTAGGCAGACATAGTATTCTGATTTCATGAGTTAGCATAAGCAATTCCAGCTATTTACTGAACATAAACTGATGAGTTACTTTTGTCAACTAAAATAGTTTTAAGCTTTTATGCTAATTTAGAATCCTTTAGTCTGTTCAAAACAACAACAATCCCAAGCCATGAACTGGGACTGTTTTTTCTCATGACTGTATTTAAAACAGCTGCGTTAAAAACATCCAGAAGTTTCTAATTATTTAAGAAGAAACTGTATATACACTACCAGTGTGTGTGTTTATATATATATATGTATACAAAAAACACAGTATATATACTACCCTGTATATATATTACCAGTTTGCTCTTTCCAGAGGCAAAGGCTGGTGCCAGTTCCTACTGTAACTCACACTTTGTGGTTAGTCTATAAAACCCATCATATCTTATTATAGGAAAGTACTATCCATATCTCCAAAGCAAACAAGATTAGTTCTTCAGTCTAACTATTACAGACTTTGCAACTAAATGAATGAAGGCCTGTTCAACTGAATACTTGGGTTTCAGCTCAGGTTTACAGAATGTTAGAATGTGAATTACAGTTTACAGTAAAAACAGTATATTCATACTTGCCTCAAAAATCAGAAGTATCCTACTATCTCTGAGATAGCGTTCGTAGGGGTAATCTTTCATATAGCCAAGGCCTCCAAGAATTTGCAGTGCTTCACTTACGCAAGCCCATGCACCTTCAGAACTGAACACCTGCCGTTGAACAGTATTTTAATCACCATGCTACACAGTAAATACAGAATACTTTGCTCCGTTATTATATCTACGTGACACTGCTGTAGTATTTTGTACTGCTGTTACAACAGTCCTGTTTAAAGCTTGCCTGAAATAGTACCCTTATGGCTCAGGGTGTATACTTCGGTCAAAATTAAATGGTTTCCTTGCAATCCACAAAAACATCTCTATAAGGAAATATTCCTGGGAGAGTCAGAGCCACAAACCGAAAGAACAGCTGTAGCTGGTGCGTTGCAGCCCTTTACGTCTGCCCAGATTCACTGGAACGTGGAACACGAGTTCTTTTGAACTGACCACACCATGAGGGACCATCAACGGGGGCTGAAAATCTGCGAGCACCCAGCCTCACACTGCAGACATGCCTTACCTAGTGATAACTCCAGTAGAATCAGAGAATCATCGTCTAGGTTGGAAAAGACCTTTAAGATCATCCAGTCCAACCATTAACCTAACATTAGCAAGTCCATCACTAAACCAATTAAGGGTAGAGTAGCAATTTCATCTTTCCTGGCTTGGTGGCTGGATTATTTACAATGAAAGTAAACACTAGGAATCATTAAGGTTGGAAAGGATCTCCAAGATCATCAGTCCAACCACCAACCCAACACTACCATGCCCACTAAACCATGTCCCAGAATGCCACGTCTACCCGTTTTTTGAACACTTCCAGGGATGGTGACTCCACCACCTTTCTGGGCAGCCTGTTCCAATGCTTGACTACCCTTTCCGTGAAGAAATTTTTTACTAATATCCAATCTAAACCTCCCCTGGCGCAGCTTGAGCCCATTTCCTCTCGTCCTATCGCTAACTAATGGGCTTAATGGGCTTAAGCTGCGCCAGGGGAGGTTTAGGTTGGAAA